TGAACTAGTTCACGTAGAAAGAGAACTTTCCCAACACTGTGTCTAGGTCTCTGAAAGGGCGGTCGTTAAAGAGAATTGCTGGCCTGGCTGAATAGGCGAGGTTTTCTGCTTCCCTGTAAAGGGGTTGGAGTAGCAATGATAGTGGGAAGGGATCAACTCAATTGCTGTTGTGTAGGTTTTTGAAAGCTGGAACCTGAGTTCACCCCCTCTGTTTAAGATTGGCTTTCTTTCTTAACATAAATGACTTCCTTCCTTCCTCTCAAACCACCTATTTTCTTTGTCCAAAATGTGAAGATTCTGGTCCTTAAAGATTGTCCTTTGTCCATAGGGTGTAGACCTTTAGTTTTTAACATCACTATTTTGTTGTTCTTTGTATATAAAATAATAGGTTATTTAATGGTTATTATTGTTGGGTTTAAAGTCCTTCAAAGTTGGGTTGCTTTTTTGATCATCCATTTTCTGACGTTGCAGGTTCTACTTGCCTCATGGAATAACAACAGACAAGGACAATAACTACTGGGTGACCGATGTGGCTCTGCATCAGGTGAGCTGCTGTTTGCGTTTGCGCTCTTTTGCTTTTTCACAAACCTAGCATTTATAGTAGCATCAAACTATAATAGAATGAAAGACTTTTTTTTTGTCAAATCACCATTGCTATTGTGAATTTACTAACATGTTTTTTTCTAATCACTTTATGTTGCGTAATGTATGTTATATAATGATTATAAATTTTTGTAGTTGCTTTTGTGTTTTTAGAAAGCAATATTTCTACAAGTCTGGGGTAGTTAAGTAAAAAGCAACACAAGAAGTGCCTCACAGACTTTAAGAATATTTTGCCCTTCTTTTTCTTAACATTTTTTTCTAGACATAAACTCTCAGTTCATTTTGATTGCCTTCCATGTGCAAACCAATAGAAAAGAGTTAAATTCGTGTCAAGCAAGTGTCTGGCTTGAAGTAGAAGAGCTTCCTCATAGTTGATGCTTTTCTGATCACCTGGAAATCCTCCTGCGCTGAGGAAATAGGCACCATCGGATCTGCAATAGTCTTAATTTTGATGTAATTTCTGTGGTATTTCTATTCCAATTCCCGCTAGTGATCTGCTCAATGATTGGCAGTTACCGGCAACTGAACAGCTACTGCTAGCAAAGAGATGACGGGGCTAGTTACTGAGAGGGAAAGAACTGACCTGCGTTAGCTTTGGAAAGGCTGGTGACTAGAATGCGTTGGTCGTCACTCACTGCATAGTCATTAATATGCAGATGCCTCATTGGACACTGTCGGCAACAAGCCTAGAGGGCGGCCATCTTGGATCGGACCACAGTACAGACAGCTACTGTCCGAATGAATTGGAGGCAGCTCACTACCCCTTAAAAAGTGACGGGCTTTATTAGGGGTGTAAATCACACCCATCAGTATCGATTTCCTGACCCAACGATTCGATTATTTTCAATACTCAAGAATACATCATTTTCTTTTTCCTCCACTGCGTCTGTCTTGCCTACCTCTTCTTTCAACTCCGCTATCTCCACCATGTCTGTCTTGCCTACTGTTTACGCGACTGTGTGTGCATACGGAAAGAGGGTAGTGGCTAAAGGAAGCGAGGTAGGAGGGAAAAATAGGTTTAGCGCCACCGCAGCGCGGGAGTCAGAATTACGTCCAGAAGCAAGTGGATACAAATAGACAGGAGGAAAAAAATAAAAAATTAATCGATACTCTTGCAAGACGTATCGATGCTTCGGATCGTCGGCTGTTGGATCGATGCATCGATACAAAACGATTAATATTTACACCCCTAGGCTTTATGCAAAACATGTGTAACAATAGAAAAAGACAAAGTAGACAGGAGAGGCTTGTTTGTAAATGTACTGGAAAGACCCAAGTTTTAACATTTCTCTGAGATTAACTGGAACCAGCAGATTAAAGGAACTGCTAACAGAACAAAGTATCTTCCAGCACTTATTGCTGGACTTCACTAAAAGATGAGCTACATCACAGTATTACCTAGATCCAACACCATTACCAGATGCTAACATGAAAACTCAAATCTGAAGCTAATGATCGGCTATTTAAATGGACAGTGAGGCATAGTTTGGTTGTTTAAACGCATCGTTCTAAAGTGTATCTGAGAAAATTCAATTCAGTTTATTTATATAGCGCCAATTCACAACCCGTCACCTCAGGGTACTTTACAGTTCACCAGATCATATAGTCAAGTTCATTCAAAGTTTTCTATCTAGGCAAGTTGATTACATCGACTCAGTGTCTCAAAGGCAATCCTTCACACCAAGCATGCTTGTAGCGACAGTGGAGAGGAAAAACTCCCTTTTAACAGGAAGAAACCTCCATCAGAACCCGGCTCAGTGTGAACGACCACCTGCCGAGGCCGACTGGGGTTCAAGGGAACAGAAGCAGACATAGAAAAAGAAGCAGAGACACAAAAGAAAACTGTTAAAGGCGGTCCACTCTAGGAAACACACAGCCAGGCAGACGAGCTCCGAGCCAGCTCCCATGTCAGAGGATGAAGAGAGCACATCCAGTTAGTCACAGTCAG